TAGAACTGCCCTGCTAACCCAAGAGCTCTGAGATTACCACCTCTGGGAGAATGTCACTGTTCAACTGGAAGGTTTTCTTTGTGACAGGAGTTCCACTCGGCTGAAGTGGGAAAACATCACTGCACTAGGATTGAGCAGCAGAGGAAAAGGCAGCACAATGACCCCCACTTCTTACATCATCTTGGTTTCTGAGGGCAAAATGAAAAATCCTGCGTGGCAGTGAAGAGCTCTGCTACTTGCTCTGTGTGATACACAGACTTAACTCCCTTGCACCCAAATGGTGGCTATGGGGAAGAGGAAGAAACAAGGAGGAACTTAAATACCTGACAAAAGGAAAACCCACCATCTCAGCTGCTCAAGAGAACTACCATGATATTATGGGAAATGTTACTCCATAATCCTTACATTGTATTTTCCTGTCAAGTGTCAGTTCTATGATTAATGGTTCACAGGGGAACAAACCAAGGCAAGAATTTGTGAGGTCCCATCACCACCACTTTGAACACCCTTCCTTCTAGAGCACTTTAGTGGGCTTTTTGTTCATTCTCATGACCTCATCAAATTTTGCATCATAATTGCATTTGCTAGCTTGACATTTTCCTGACAGTGTTGTTCTGCATCTCTCCTCCTGAGACCAAGAGACTTGGTGACCTAACAGTAAAAAATGAGGATTTTTGCACCCTATCATACCAAGAGAAGAATACTCATTTTCTTATGCTGCTTTGAAAACTGTGAAGACACAGAAATCTAAGAACTGAAAGGTATCAGGGTGGCAAGATGCAAATAATATTTATTAAAAGTAGATAAAAATATTCCAATAACTGAGCTGGGGGAGGGGTGACAGAAGATCTCAAATTAAACCATGACTTCGACAAGGCTGCTGAAATTTCCTATTCTGCTTTTATTCTTATGGAAATAAAAGTAAACTTGGAATCACAATGGCATCACTTTAGAGGTTCTGAGGTTACTCTTGGAGCTGCTTCTTGCCCAAACAACTAAGCTGTCTACCATCAATCTACTTCTGGGGTAAGTAGGATACTGGCTACTGTCCAACTTCAAGCAAAACAAGCAAGCAAGAAATAAACCTATGTTAGCACTGTGAAGTGATATAAGACCTTGCCTAGCTGGAGAGCTCTATGGCAGCACTGAGCCCCTGAACTTGCTAGGGACACTTTTCCTCTCCCAAGAGATTGCACTTGGCTTTGAACTTTCAGCCATATAGAAAAAAGGCTGAGTTGAAATGTCAGCATCATCTTGGATTCAAATCAATCAGCTTGATGCATGATTGCAATAGCTAAACCACTTCACCTCTGCACTGCTCTTGTCCATATGTTCTTTATATCAGCAGTCAGCAGACTGGGTGGCTCAGTGGATTCATTTCCTGTCCTAAGCTTGGGCTCCAGTTTAAACAAAACACAAAAATCCTGAAACTGGAAAATAAAAATTAGCATCTACTGACAGTTAAATTCACCAGACTTATTTGCATCAAGTCTCTTTCTCTATCCAAGAAGGCTGCAAGAACCCTTTGGGAAACCCTGGTACAACTGGTGATTTTTAGCTATCTGTTCAACTAGGTGGTCACAGTTCTACAAATAGAAGAAAGGAATTGGAGACCTTTCAAATGTTGACATACCTTTGGGTGAGGAGGAAGCAACAAAGGGAAGGGAGGAGAGCCCCAGGCAGTGTCAACTTAAAGAAAACAGATTGGAAGCAGCTATCCCCACCTCAGTAAATCAATAACCCACTGAGTAGCAAAATCCCCACCCATTTTTAGAGCTGGGTTTCCTCCAGACGATGCTGCTCTTTATCAGCTACAATGCAAGAGTTAAATTCCCAAGATAATTTAAATCTAAACAATGTGCAGCCTTCAGCATTAATGTAGGTGCCTGCCAGCTGGTGACAGTTAAAGGGTTACTTTCTCAAGCTAAACTTATTAGCTAAGGGTCAAGACATTTTTGTGATACTCAAATTGCATTTAGTAGCTTGTTCTATCAGTGCACAGTGTGTTTTCTCATTGAAGGTGTATTACAGCAAGCTGGTCTCATCAGGATTCTGTCATACTTTGGGACTAGACATCCATGCTGGACTGTTTCCTTTGCAAAAGTAAAGCTGATCTGCCATTTGGGAGATAACAAGAAAGTATATATGTCGGAAGTAGCCTTTGAATGATTGCAAGCTCTGTGGCTTGGTTTCCTTGGTTCACCCTCCCACCATCCTATCTTCCTCCATAAAATGCTAAAAGAACTAAAATTTTAAAAGGGCAAGGAAGGTCTCATAAAAAGACAGCTCATTAAAAATAATCCATCCTCCAGATAGACTACAGAGGCTCCCCCACAAAGATGCTGTTCCAGAACAGCACAAAAAGGGAGCAAGGATCAGCCCTGCTCACTAGGGATTAAAGGAGGAACCAATACAAAGGATCTCTCAAGCCTTAAGATGCAAAAAGCACCGTCAGCCTGAAGAAGGGACCCCCACAGCCATGCCCATGCACACACAACTCCCAAAACTGCTCCATGTACTTTATCAATTCATTATCTTCTGGCTTAGAGTTCCCTGCTCATGCAAATGCAACCTCACTATTCCAAAGCCCATTGGGAAAGAAAGCTTTTTTTTCCTTCAGTCTCTGGAAAAAGGAGACATCTTGAAGAAGCAGCTCAGGGCCATTGGAGTTGCCATTCTGCTGACAGCAGAGAACAATAGTGACTGTCAGAGAACCAGAGCATTTGCAACACAGCAAGGAGGCAAGTTAAAAATACTGTAGGTCCAATCTGTCTTCAGTCATACCTCCCCTCACCTCAACTTTAAAAGCACCAGCTGTACATACAAGTCAAATGAAATATTGACATTAAATCTAACTAACAAAAAAAATTAAAGCATTTTGAGGCTCTGCCCTGCTAATTTGCCCTGGCTTCATAATTGCACTGTTTTTGTTTTCCTTCCATTTAGTTTTCCATTTTCTTTTGTTTGCTGTTTCCAGGAAGGACCCACACAGATGTAAGCATCCCACCCTCTCAGAGGAACCACATTTGTAGTAGGAGAGAGTGCAGAAAGGAAGGAGTAGAAAAGGCTCTACACCAGGTTGCTAAAAAGCCCTAAAAAACTCTTTTCAGCCTCTTTTACTTACAATTACAACTGACACCAACATTAACAATTAACATAGGGAGCAAGTAAATATTTTAATTTTAAAATTGATTCCTCTGGACAGCTTGAGGTGCTGTGCACGCCCTTAGTGCCAGTAGAAATTAAGTGGCACACCCCTGCTGTTCTAGAAAGGGGTCTTTTTATTTCTTTATTCTTCTTTCAAGAATATGGGACTGTCAGTAGCACCAGATGTTTTAGGGAGGAAAAAAAGGTAAAAAGAATCTCACACATGAAAGCAAGGGCTTACTACTGGCTTTCTGCTCACACTCCACAGACCATATCCAAGCCCAGAAGAACAGTTACACCTTGAAAACTGACTGCATAAAATTGTCACCTCATTCCACAGACTTGCTCCTCAGATCACTGCTGACTTTCTCAAACAAGCTTATGTTGGCTTTTTGTTTCCACTGAACTCTGCTGAGACAGATCTGGCACTGTGGGAAGGAGCTGGATTCTCTCCTGTACACCAGCAACACCACGAGGATGTAATTATTCACACCTGTCCAAACCTACAGGCACAAGTGGGCTGCATGCACCAGCTTCTCAGGATCCAGTCAGAACCTTGGCCAGGCTGAGCTACAACTACTTCGGACATAGCAGTTCTGCCCCAGTCCTTAGCATCCCTCTCCCCTGCAGTGACAGGTAAAAATCCAAGCTGTGCACACAGCAAATTTCTTTCTCAAGTTCACTTCTTTTAGCAGCATGCTAAAATGAAAAGTTCTTTCCTGCACACTGCAATTTAGGGTAGCTTGGCTACTTCTTAAGACTTTCATTGAGCTTCTGGGAAACTATTGTTTCCTCAGCAGCCTGAAGCAAGCTGCTCTCTGCAACCATCATTCTTCTTGACTGTAACAAGACAACTTCCTGATTAGAGATTTGCCTGCATTGTGTACTAACATCAAGGTACCACAGAACAAAGAACAAGAGGTACAGCTACAAACAGTCTTAGAGCATTGGACACCCACAATGACCTTCACCAGCCAGCAGAGGTTGTGTTGCCCTGATGCACAGAAAATTGAAGGCTTAGTTTTTCTCACATTCATAAGCCACCAACACTCGTGACACAGATTCAGCAGATGCCTTAGTGCCGAAACCTGAAATGAGATGGGGAAGCAGGACTTGTTTCAAAGCACAAGCAGCAACAGTTAAAGCCAAGAACACCAGGGAGGAAAATGCAAAACATGCCTTTTTGTCCATCATGATGAGACAGGATAAAAAGACTGTCTTCCAGCTCTGGAAAGAGCCCTGTGTTTTCCTGTGTGAAAGATCAGACACCAAACCCAGACCTCTGCTTTCACATTCACTGTGCAGCCTGAATGTTTCACCAATAAGTTAGGAGGCGGGTGGTGAGGGGAACAAAAGTTGACTAATTTAACTCCCAGCTCTCTGGGAACACAGGTTTTATTTGTGTCCAGATCTTACATCTCACAGGTATAACCCTTACAAGCAGTCACCCAGGGTCCAGCTTTTAGCAGCTACAGCAACGAATGGGGATGACAGTGGGATGCGATGATAATACATTGACAAGGAGAAAGCACATTATCTGAAGGACCGTGCAATGGGGATGCCAAGCAAAAGCACATCTATAAACAGGTCATCCCTATGTATCCACTTTTTCATCTCTTCCCTCCTCCTTGTTCAGACTGCTTTGCAGGCATTCAGTATGGCCTATTTTTCAAGCCCACCTTTTGAAGCTTCTGTGTGAGCATTCAGATGGGGAGTGAAGACAACAGGTGATTTCTCACCGTGTTTGAAAAGCATAGTACAAATTAAGGAACAAAACCCAGCTCAACCTAGCCAGTCCATCCACACATCCCCTTGCTGCTCTGTAAGGACAAGTATGTTACTGAATAACTTACCCTCTTCACAGTTGCTCCCTGTGAAGCCAGGACAGCACCTCCACTCCAGCGTGGTCACAGTTCGGTAGGACATTTTGTACGTGGGCCTGATGAGAGTCCTGTAACTAACACAAACAAGAATTCTGTAGAATGCATTTATCTACTCAAGAGTGGTGTTGCTACTAATTCACAGCACATTCTCCTGTCTGGATATATCCCCAGACTACCCAGCTGCAGAAAGAAATACAGAGATGCATAAGAGAGCAAGGGTTTATCACAGCATGGATCCAATTCAACAACCATTACTTTTGTCCTTAAACCATCATACTCTTCTGGCTCTTCCTTTGGCCTTCTACCTCTCCTCAGGTAACACTGGTATGCTTTGTGGAGGTCTCATCACTATCAAGTCGTTGCAAGTAGCAGAGATGATGACTCTTGTTTCCCTCACACTATCTCCATGTGGATTTCTCTGACGTCAAACAAAGGCTGTTATTAGCCTTCCTACAATTCTGTACAAAAGCTACCTGCAAACACAAGCAGACCTGTGCAAGGCACCAGTGTAAAGTCAATGCAAAAATTGGCATTTATGTAAACGTTTTCTTTTAAAGCAGCAGCCCTTCAAAGCCGGCATATCAGAGTTTCCCCAGTATACAGTCAGACAAGTCACTGCTGCTATTCACAAAGCTAAAAGCAAACACAGAAGTTGTACTCTACAAGCTCTCCTCGAAATTCCTACCCTTATTTAACAGCCAAAGGTATTTGGCACGCATAGGGAGAAGCTGAAGCTTTGGGATTACAGTGTTGCAGGCTGCAGCTTTATACTTCTCTCTCAAGGCCAGGCAGAAATCAGCCTGGAGCACCCGAGTCTCCTCCAGGGAAAAAGCTTCCTCCGGCAGTGCCGAGAGCCGCCAGGAGACGGAGCTCGGCCAGCAGCATTGCCCCGGGCTCCACTGGGCACAAGGCCAAAATGGAGCTAGAAATCACAGAGAATCTAATCCAAAACCCCTCCAAGAGGCAGCAGGCACAGGTGTACATCCAGAGGGCACTGCAGTGACATTGGTAGAGTCACTCTGAAGAGCAGTAGCAAAGGCTTGCCAGGAGAGGCTGTCCATGTATGTCTTGGAAAGAAGGCAGCAGCTCAGTCTTCGGGAAACTAATTTCTCAGTAAGCTGTTGCTAATTATTTATGCCAGCTGCCAAACACAGCAACAATCTTCTCCTATAGCCACCAGAGAGGATGGCCACACAAGCTTCCTCCTGAGTGTGCAGCCGCCTGCACTTGGAATGGCATGGCACAGCAATGGGAGAGCAGCGCTGTCTCCGGAGAACATTCTGTCCTCACCCTCTGAGCTGCCAAAAAGCACCCCAGTTACTGCTGATACTGACAGCTGAAAACCAGGCATTTGTCTAATACAGGCTGGACAGAGCCACGTCATCCCACCTGGTTCTGTGCTTCTGCATCCAATGGAATTCAGGAGTTTGCAGTCACAGGTGAATTTGAAGACCTGACACAACGTTGATGTAGGTAGACCTTCAGTGCTTTTTCACTGAGAGACCCAAGGCACAAAGACTTTCAGTGTCTTGCTGAGAGGTCTCTCAGAACAGCTCTGGTGAAGTTCAAGAACTGAACCTCAGTCTCCTGACTCCCAGTCCTGGTGTTGGACTCAGGACATCTTTCCACACGTAAGCCCTGAACCATCATTTAGAAGTTCATGACTCCATCACTAACACCACAGCTGGACTGACCTTGAGATGAAAGTCTTCAGCCCTGTTACCAGTGTCCAGAGCCAGCTAGTCTCCAACCACACCGTGATTTTAAAACCATGTTTCTGCCAACACCAAGATGTTAAAGCTCTCTCAAACTTCATTATGAAGTGTGGAGAGTGCCTTGAACCAGACTGGAATCTTGGCAGCAGTTCTGTGTCGGGGAAGTAGCTACAGTTTAATCCTCAAACAAGCGAAGACTTCTCAGGGCATGACAAACGTGGAGTTCAGCTGTCACAGTCTACCACCCACCCTGAATTTCCTGGAAGAGTCCTGATGTTTGCAGCTCTGTTCAGCATCGTGTAGTCAGGCATGTTAAGTGGTCCCAGCTTGCTAGCTCAAATTTGCTCTAAAGTTGCTCTGTTCTTCATATTCATAGCATCATTTTTCCTCAATTGTGTGACATGGCACCAAGGCCTGTTTTTACATAGATCATCACGTCACATTATGCAGATTTCTGACTGCCATTGCAGCAGGGGAACAAAGAAAATTCCTTTAGCAAAGCATCACCACTGATACCTGAAGTGTTGCAATCGAAGGAGCCATGAACACATGGAAAAAGAAGAGAAAGAGATACCTGTTGAGTATCAGAAGCCTCAGAATAAAAATGTGAGGAGAACACAACAGGATTGGTAGCAAAATAAGAAAGCCATAAATGCTGTCACAGACATCTGCAAAACCACAGGACAAGAAGAGGTTAGGATGAGATTCAATCTGCATCTCTGCTTCCCATACAGCCAGAGGATGTGCTCAGCATATACATTCCCCTTCAATAGAAGGCCTCCAGACACTTTACAGAGAAGCAAACTACCAGGATCTGCTGCTCCTCTGCAAGAGATAGGTGTCATTTACCAACACACTGGGTTCCAGAGAGTAAGGCAACACTGAGGGAAGAACCCAGAAAACTCAACTAGTGGCCACTGCTGTTACTAGGTAATTCAAACACCCAGCTGTCCTTGGAGACTGCTTGATCAGTGTCAGACAAGCTGCAGGAGCTCATCCATAAGGAAACATCCTTTGGAAAACAGTCTCTTGTCTCTGTAAGTGATGGCTCAAAAAGTGGTAATTTAGGGAGGGAGCAGGAGATGACTGATTAACTGATTTGGGAGCATGAAGCTAGAAATACTGGAGATACCAAGACACCCTGAGGGATGACAGCCAACAAGTCTCACGCCTCAGCACACAAGGATGTGCTCCCCTTGGTCTCAAGAAAGTGTCACTGAACAGAATAGCTAGACATGACACAAGAAAGGGAGTGTCACATTCTTGGACCAGAGCCTTAAAAATCAGGTCAAAGAGAAAGACATGATCTCTGCCATGACCCAAGCAGGACAGCCTGTCACACACAGGAAATACCTTCCCCCTTTTTGGATTCCCCCTGCCCTTTGACACTTCCGAACAAAGCTGTTTGTACTCCAGGACCACATGAGAGGAAAGGCGTGAAGCTCATTTCCACATCACAAGAGACTGTTTTGTTAGTGTGATTCATTCAGCCATTGCAGTTTGTGCCCAAGGAGACCTTGGTGACCTTCAGAGGTTTCTTTTTACTCAACTTCCAGGTTGAAAGTTTCAATATCACTTACTGGTGGTTTTTCAGGGTAGCAAGAGGAATGAACTTGCCTTTTTGACTGGCAAAAAACCTGGAAACCAAGGATCCCAAGTTTTCTATTACCTACTAATCTCATGGCAGTGAAGTCGCGTATCAGCTCAATCCTCTACATATAACTGCTCTGTTGTCTTTTGAACAAGGTCAATCCATAAGAATTGCTACCTCTGCATTAAAAGATCAGAACAAGGCTCATGATAGTTCCTCTATTTTTTTGTACCTACAGCCCGATTTACAGACATGTCAGCAATCTAAATTTCCCCATAGAAAATCAGGGTGTTCTGAAATCACGTTTCAAATCAGACCCATGCTCTTTTCTTTTCCTAAAGCCCCAGCTTTTCCAGCTTCCTAGCACAAAGGCAGTAGGTTCCCAGGGAAGACGGTAAACAGAAGAATTTCAAATATACTCCTGCAGACACTGGACCAAAAACAAAACCTGCAGGTGCAGGAGTATTGGAGGCCACTGTACATGTCCTGCCTCTGCCAAAGGAGTGAAAGAGGACTGTTGAATTCTGAGCATGTCTGGTTTGCACAACTTACCAAGAGCCTAAAACCCAGAAAACAAACTTATATACCTCCCTTCTCAAGTTGTACAGAACAATGTTTTACAGTCTCTTGGTCCCCACCCCCCCCTCCAATCAGGGTGTTCTGAAATCACGTTTCAAATCAGACCCATGCTCTTTTCTTTTCCTAAAGCCCCAGCTTTTCCAGCTTCCTAGCACAAAGGCAGTAGGTTCCCAGGGAAGACGGTAAACAGAAGAATTTCAAATATACTCCTGCAGACACTGGACCAAAAACAAAACCTGCAGGTGCAGGAGTATTGGAGGCCACTGTACATGTCCTGCCTCTGCCAAAGGAGTGAAAGAGGACTGTTGAATTCTGAGCATGTCTGGTTTGCACAACTTACCAAGAGCCTAAAACCCAGAAAACAAACTTATATACCTCCCTTCTCAAGTTGTACAGAACAATGTTTTACAGTCTCTTGGCCCCCCCCCCCCCCCCCCCCAAAAAAAAAAAAAAGAGACCAAGACAGATATTTCTACGCCAGAATAATAATCAGCTCCTTTCTTTATTAACAATTAGATCTCAGTGCAATTGCAGAGTAGCACTGCACTTCCCTACCAGCAAGGAGGAAGAGTGCCCAGACAGCATGTCTGGGCAAGATCAAAAGGCCTTCAATTAGCAGCCAGAGGACTGTGCACAACCTAGGAAGCAGCTGGCCCTCCACCTGTGTCCAGCCAGCAACACATCTTCCCTTCTGAAAACAGGGCCATCCCTATTGATCCCAAACCTGAGAACACACCTTTGTGCTACAGTTCAATCCCTTACACACCCAGAACCTCTGCCTATTGTGTTCAAAGGGACACTGTTCAATCTACATTTATATTCCATACGTGCATGGGAGAGCAAGCATCTTTTTTCCAAGCAAATGACTCCACATCTTGGAAAGGAATAAGGGAAATAAACACATAAAAGAGTTCGTGTGTAACAGGACTTCAAATAGCAATCCTAATGCACTGGAATAAACTCTGGGATTTATTGTTCAATTGACTAGAGAGAAATATTTCCCTGTGGTATTACTACTTCTGAAACTGAGGAGAAACATAAGCTACAGGCCAATCTCTTGGGTGCAGATCCTCAGTTTCTCTTACTGACCCTGTAGCAATAGTCTTCAAAAGCAGAAGACCAAAATGGATGAGCCTGCTGAATTCCTTTTTTGTTATTCTGCAAACTAGCTTGTAAAATCCCTCCAGGAGCAGGAAT